ATATATACATATATATGTATATATACATATATATGTATATATACATATAAATGTATAAATAAACATATACATGTGTATATGTGTATGTGTGTATATATATACATACATATGTATATATATATATATATATATATATATATATATATATATATATATATATATACTCATATATGTATAGATATATATTTGCATATACATATGTATATGCACATATACATATGACCCCCCTGCCCTACGGGAGCAGCGAAAATGTTTGCTAATTTGTACAAAGAACATATCGAGAGCATTAATTCAGAGAGAGTTGCACTACATCTTGTCACTGCAAGATCCGAGAGGCACTAAAACTATTCTGGATTTATTTTAGATTTTTTTAGTGCCCTTATATATATATATATATATATATATATATATATATATATATATATATATATTAATATATATATTGATATATATATATATATATATATATACATTAATATATACATATATATATATTGATATATATATTAATATATATACACATTAATATATACAGGTATGTGTGTATGTATGCTTATATATATGCAAATGTGAGCGTGTGAAAATATATGTATACATATATACATATACATACACATAAACATATATGTATACATATATACATATTTGTTTGTGTACACTTACACAAAGATATATTCATATTTTCACACGAATCCATATATATATATATATATATATATATATATATATATATATATGCGTGTGTGTGTGTGAGTGTCTGTTTATAATACATATATGTGTGTGTGTGTGTGTGTGTGTGCACGATTTGTTACACAACCGGGAAACTAACTTCACTAGCATTCTTCAAAATTTAAAGTCAGATGAACATATTGTAAAAACAAAAAAATGATAAAGGAAAGGCATAGTTTTACTGAATAGAACTAATTATATTGACAAACTATCTTCCATACTTTCTATTTCATCTAAATATCAATTGTTAAATGTCTCCAGACTGCACATTCCAGTAATACCTCTTAGATCCAAAATTTTATCTGGCATTTTCAATTATAACCTGGTTAAATTTCTCATTCGAATCATTTAACCTTTAACGTGTAATAAATACATGATTTCCAACTCATCAAATTTCGCGAATGAAATCAGTCATTCAAGATTTTAGGACACCCTAACAATGGCTAGTTTATTGTCCAGTCTTTGTTTTCTAACGTACCTCTTGCAGAGACCACACAAATCATCACTAACAATACAACAGCTGAATCCCTTTCACAGCTGGGTTTAGAAAAAAACACTCAATTTCTCTTTTAAATACTGCGACAGAAAATTGTTTTTACTTTTGACAACCGCTTATACATTCAGATCAATAGACTTACTGTGGGTTTTCCCATTGGTCCTAACTATACTGATGCTTTTTTAGTTATCATGAGTATGAGAAAAAAATGGCTACAAAACTGCCCATTGGAATTTAAACCCTTGTTTTACAAAAGATACATAGACGATACTTTCCTCTTGTTCAAACTTTCATCACATGTACAATTGCTTCTATCCTACCTTAATGACCAACATCATAACAATAAGTTTACTTGTGAAAATGAAAATGAAAACCAATTTACGTTTCTTGATACGTTTATCACCAAAGAAAACGATCACCTGTGCGCTACTGTATATATAAAACCTTTCACTAGTTTGGGAATGCATTATTTGAGCTATGCACCGCGGAAGTACAAGAAGAATACTATATTCACCTTAATCATCAGAAAACATTTGCTCCACCTGGTCCCTTTTGATAGGGAAATGAAGTTCTCAAATTACTTTGAAACAAATGGATACTCAGGCAGTATGTTTCACAAAACACTGACATTATTCTTAAAAAATAAGATTTGTCTGCTTGTAAAAATTATGCTAAGCAAACCAAATATATCAAATTACCGTATCTCGGACGATTAAGTTATTGCGTTCGAAAACAATTACTTGAGTTGCTCAAATTTTTATTCCTCAAGTAAAATTCAATATAGGTTTAACGAATAACCACACTATCAGCAGTTTTCTAGAGAGAGACCCTTTTGCTTCGGACTTATATTCAAACATTGTAGATGTTCAATTGTCCTAGCTGTAATGCTAGGTATATTGGGTCAACTAGACGTTAGTTCAAGTGTCGTGACATATAAGATTAACCTTCGATCCTTCGTACGAAATATTTAGCTGCCACCACCTAGTTAATTCGTCCAGGAACGTAAGTTTAGTGTTCGGAAAGAGAGAGGCATGTAGAAGAGTGTAAGTAAAGTTAAAGAAAGCAATTGTAAGTGTACAGAAGGTACCAAGGTTCGAGGGTCAACACTGCGGTTAGCGTGGTTCTGACGAGATGGAGTGCGTGTCGACCTAAAGCCGGCATTGTGTACAGACTTATGGTATTGAAGTTAAAGTTAAAGTCCTTGGAACGCGAGGGGAGACATAATGGAATCTTAAAAACAGGAAATCAAGTTACAAAAGTTGATTAATATTGTAAAACACTATTTGAAAAAAAAAGTTAAAAATTGAGAATCCTCCACCAGTACCCAAAAATAAGCGGGAGTACTAAAAAAAAAAAAAAAAAAAAAAAAAAAAAAAAAAAAAAAAAAAAAAAAAAAAAAAGTTGCTTTGGACATTAAAAAGGCAAAAAAAAGAGGGCGGTGTCTTCCACTCTTAATGAAATACTAATTCCCTTTAAAAGGCGGCTTAGTTTAAAAAGAATCTTAAAATAATGAAGGAGAATTATTAAAATTAAATGTAAAAACCAGATTATTATACGATGCCCATAAGGCAGAATGTGCTCTCCTATGCGGTTAGGTAAAAGAAAACGAGAATAAAATGCAATATCATTGTAATTAACACAATAAAATATATAGTCAACACAATAAAACATAACATCTTTCCCCAGAATGAAACAATGACGCCACAACCACACAGCTATTTACGGTGTAGTCATTTGATCGTAACCAACTGTTTATAGTTTAGTATTTTAGATGTCTTTTCCTTTGTACATACTGCCCTTGTTTTTAGTTTATTTTTCTTTGTTTCGCTTATTTTGTTCGTTCTTTGTAATACTGAAGATGGTCATCTTTCAAACGTTTACTAAATAAAGATGTCTATAGCTGAAATGATGTATATATGTGTGTGTATATATGTGTGTGCGTGTGTGTGTGTGCATATAAATAAATGTATATTTATATTATATATATGTACATATATATGAATATATTTATATAGTTATGTATATGTATACATATAAATGTATATATACATATATTGATATATATATACACATAACATTTGTTTGTGTATATATGTATACTTATATATATTACTGTGTATATATATATACATACATATATATAGATACCAACACACGTACACACACACACACACACACACACATATATATATATATATATATATATATATATATATATATATATATATATTTATATATGTATATTTGTATAGACATACATGCATACACACACATATATATATAAATATATATGCAAACATACATGTGTGTGTGTGTGTGTGCGTATGTATATACAAATATACATATATAAATGTAAATATATATATAGAGAGAGAAAGAGAGATAGATAGATAGACAGATAGATAGATAGATAGATAGATAGATATAGATATATATGTACGTATATATATATACATATATATATATTGATATATATACATTTATTGATATATAATTATATGTATATATTGATATATACATGCATAACATTTTTGTATGTACATATATATATACTGTATAAATACATATACATATACATATGGATACATACATATATATATATATGTATATATATATATATATATATATATATATATATATATATATATATATATATATATACACATTTATATGTCTATATATATATATATATACACATAAAATTTTTGTATGCATATATATACTTATACATATTTTTATATTACTGTATAAATATATATACATATATACATATATATATATATATATATATATATATATATATATATATATATATATATATATATATATAGATATATATATATGCATACATATATACATACATGCATATATATATATATATATATATATATATATATATATATATATATATGTATATATATATATATATATATATATATTATGTGCATATATATATATATATTGTATATATTTCATATATATATAAACTTATACATATACATATACATATGAATTTATGCATATAAACTTATACATTTCTGCATATACTCTTTCAAAATAAGTACTATATAAGCAAAGTTCTGTGGGATAAAAAAAATATATGATTAACAGTATTTCAGAGTAAATTTGTTTATATTCGTACATATGCATGATAGGACCAGGCATGGGAAACTAACGAGAATATAAAAGCACAACGCAACCTGACAACTACTTTCGCATTTTTTTTTTTTTTTTTTTTTTTTTCATAATACAGGCATTGTTTATACAGTATTAGCAAACAGGGTTTTGGAAAATGAATTAATAAAGATGACTAAGTCTAACCCACGTATCTCCACTTTCCTGACCAGGTGATCCCTGGTCCCTAGAGGTCTGCAGAGATGGCTCTAGGGACTAGATTATATTTACAATGAAACTGTTAATGTTATTTTTCCGAATATGAGATAATAGGAA